ATAGAAATGCAACTGACTTCTGTATATTAATTTTGTATCCTGCAACTTCACCAAATTCATTGATGAGTTTTGGTAGTTTTCTGGTCACTTCTTTAGGGTTTTCTATGTACAGTATCATGTCATCTGCAAACAGCGACAGTTTTACTTCTTTGTTTCCAATTTGGATTCCAAAGTTCTGCTTTTGTAGTTGGTCCTTTACTCTGCGGTGTCAGGACTGCCATGCTACTGCGTGCTAGTTCCTTTATTAAGAAGCATAAGTACCAGAAGCACAAAATCTACTAACATGCATGGGATTCATTCTCAAATTGGAGAATTCCACTTAGGCCACGGTTCCCCACTTGGTGGTATTTGTGATTAGAAGTATAAATAGCACTGTATCACCTATGAGCATGTTTGTTTGTTTGTTTTTAATAGACTTAATTTTTTAGAGCAGTTTCAGGTTTACAGCAGAATTGAGCAGAAAATACAGAGTTCCCACATAGCCCTCCCCACACATATATACTCCCCTACCCTCAACATCCCTCATCAGTGTGGCATATTTGGTACAATCAGTGAACCTACATGGACACATTATTATCAACCAAAGTCCATCGTTTACATTAGGGTTCACTTTTGATGTTGTACGTTCTATGCGCTTTGACAAACGCATAAGGACATGTAGCCACCACTATAGGATCATACAGAATAATTTCATTGCCTTAAAAATCCGTTGTGCTCCCTCCCTCCCTCTCCCCAAACCCCTGGAAACCACAATCTTTTTATTGTTTCTGTAGCTGTGCCTTTTCCAGAATACCATTTGGTTGGAATCGTACAGTTTGTAGCCTTTTCAGGCTGGCTTCTTGCATTTAGTAATATGCCTTTGAAGTTTCTTCCATGTCTTTCATGGCTTGATAGAAGAGCATGGTTATTTTTGCAACTTCCTGGATTGAGTGGAGCCCTTAGCTAATTCAATCCATTTTATTTTCTAACATCTGAAATCAAGGCTATTTATTTTCCTTCTAGGAATTTCCTGAGCTGCTTTCATAAGTTTTGATACGTAAGGTTTTATTGTTCAGTTACTTACAAATGTGTTTTTCGATTTCCAAACTGTCTTTTTATGATTGATTTCTTGATGTACGGCCCTCAAGTCAGAGAATAAGGTACATGCAATATTGACTTTTGTTATTTCACAAGACATTCTATATAGTCAGTTTTCATGAATTTGAAAAAAAATAATTTTTATTAGTGCAGATCTGTCCATTAGATCAAGCTGTATTAGTACATTGTTCAGATTGTCTGTATCTTTATGCATTTTTTCAGACTGATTTATAAATTCTTGAGACATATATTCAAATTTCTCCTTATAATTTATATTTAATTTTTGGTTTTTGGCCTATGTTGTTAAAAGCATATTGGCTCTGGATCATTATATCTGTGAAATTCCTCCTTTTATCATAAAATAATAACTTTCTTAAGCCTTAATAATGCTTTTCCTGCCTAAAGTCTATTTGGATACTAGTATTGTGACTCCTGCTTTCCTGTGGCTAATGTTTTTTTTTATTATTTCTTTTTATATCACTGTATCTACTTCTGCTTTATTATTTTTACATGTTCCTTTCTTGAAGCAGCATGGCTACTGTGGGTAAATGACACTATCTGCTATGACAAACCCCAAATCTCAGTGCTTTAACATCAGGAAGTTTTATTCTTTAATCATTATCATCTCTTTCATATTATTCTTTAAAAAAAAAAAAACAACACTCTTGCTGCTAGTTCTTCTGCTATGGCATCTGTGGGCAATCCTTCATCGTGTTTTCTTCCCTAGTGTAGTTTGTAGCTTGGGGTGGGGGTGGGGGGTGTGTGAGTTCATTTTTCATAGATTTTTTTTTTTCTCCTAAGTGGATTTCCAGTGACTCCTAGATTATAAAAGTAGCACTACCAACTGATTTCACATTTGATTCTTCTGGAACGCTAGGACTCCAGGCCTTCAATAGTCCTAGGTGAATTTTAATTTTAATCTCTTCCTACATCATTCAGGTTATATAAATTGAGAAATGTTTGGCATACAAGTAGCCTCTAATTCTCATAGGTGGCTTTTTACTTTCCACCCAAGATTCCAGGCAGACTATGCCTTCCAAGGCCAGAGGATAAAGTTTGCCCCTCTAACCCCCTTTTTGTTAAAAGAACAGCTCTTTAAGGGCCACAGCCTTATTTAGAAGTTCAGCTTTAGGCCTTTCTTCTGTCACCTGGAGGTCACTTCTGTTGGGCCCTAAGTCCTATGTCCAGTCCAAAACCCTGTGGGCTGCCTTGCCTCAGCTTTCTAGAATCACTCCTCATTGCTAGCACCTGGGGATTTCCCGGTCTCTTTCAAGCTTAGAAATGTATTAATTACTTTTGGGGTGTTCTGTCTTATATAGCATTTCTTTGTATTTATAATGATAAACGGCATTACACCTTGCTAGACATTTTCTAATCTCTTCTTTTTAGCAAAGAAAGCAGACTGAGAACCCAGGGGTTTCTACCTTGAATTTAATAGCGTTTTATTTTGATTATATTTCTGTGACTATTTTATGTGAGTGATTCTAAGTTTCCATATATACAGTGATACAAACCTTCCTTTCAAAATAAACTTACTTAACTAAAATAAATCAATTTAAAGAAAAATATTAAGTTAACTGACAAGTGCTATGTGGCTAAGCAAAACCCATAAAGGTGGTATATTAATAATATTCATGTTTGTAGAATATTTGAAAGCATTTGATGCTCTTCTGAGCTTTGCCCTCCGTTTTTAAAAATGTTATTTTGTGCTTTAGTAACCAAGACAAGAAGAGGTGTATCAACAAACAGAGCCTGGGCTGAGAAAGTGGGAGCGGTTACCTACATCAGGGCGTAGTGTGCATTAGCTAGTCTCTTCAAAACAAACAATAAAGATCAGCTGTACTAGTAGGAATGGGCTAGATTAGCATGTGGTAACAAAGAAACCCAATAGCTCTGAGCAAAACAAAACAAAAATTTCCTTGCTTACATACCCAACAGCCACTTGGCTGCAGCCCGCGTAGCGCCTCCGCAGGCACCAAGCCGGGAACAGCACGCGGCACCTACATGCGTGCTCCTAATTCTTCTGCTCAGAAGTGACACCTGCCAGTCTGCTCTCATTTCATTTGTCATTGCAAGTCACGTAGCCACCCTAATTTCAAAGGAGGGCAGGGAAGTACAATTTTACTATGTGCCCCAAGGGCCGAGAGCCAGAACTACTTGAAGAGCAATAATGATTGTGAAAACCATCCAGCAAGCGGACAGTTCTGGATCCGTCCTGTAGGTGGAGACGTGGAGCCGAGCATCTGTTGGGGAGGTCGGCCATTGAGAGCCTGACCTGTGCTTACAACTGTCCATCCTCTGTGGCAGCTCCATCCTGTACGCAGACAACCCCAAATTAAGTAGTGACTACAGGCGGATAAGGTGAAATACTTACCTTCACGATGGAATGATCTGTGACCTCACAGATCCCGGGAGGCTTCCATTACTGATGGTAAAACTTCATTCTGCTCCATTGCCAACTGTTCTGTTTGGCCGCTTCATTTCTACAGATATTTATAGACCTAATGTATGGATGTGACTGAAGTAGTTACAATGAGCACAACCTGGGTTTCTCCTAGGTTTGCCTCCAGGCTATATCCTGGGTCAGCATACCTACTCTGTCCCTGGGGTTTCCTAAAAAGTCCCCATGGCCTTTTATAATATTTGTGGCTTTGTGAGAGGCCCCTCCTGTGAGCACTGCCTGATCACGGTGTCAGCTTTTCCCTTCCCTCATGCATGCTACCTCTGGCTTTCTAGCACCTTCTTAACAGAGTCTCTGCTCTGTGTTGCAAAGGGGTATTGAGAGACGAAGATCTCAGTATCTGTTGAATGAATGAAAGCAGCACAGTTATCACTAGAGACATAGGAGTTTGTTTTTATCATAGTCTTTACTGACAGTAGAGGGTTTAACTTGGATCCTGAAAAAAGTGATCATCCAGGAAAGCAAACTCCCAGTGTTTGGTAGACCCAGACTGAGGTGGAGAGCAGTCTCAATAAGAGAGGGAGGGAGGAATTAAATTTAGCACTTCAACACAAAGGCTTACCCTGTTTAAATTTAGGTTAGCGCCTCCATCGGAAGTATTCCCCCTGGATGAGTGAAATTACATGGACGCCACTAAGAAGAAAAACATCATTGTCACGATAAATGGGGATGTACTGAACAAGGGTCAGGAGATAAAAATAAGTCAAGGGGAATTTATTGTGAATGGTGGTCAGCTTCATACAAGAACAGATAGATTAGTCACAGTTCTCTCCAGTATTTGTTCCCTTCCACTAGTCTTACCAAGTACACTAATATAAATAGTCCTGGACTTGACCCTGATTAGCAAGAAAAGATAGTAACGTAACCAGAACCATCTTCACCAACATACCATTCACAGTGAATCCGTAAATATTCCAAGAAGGAAGGAAAATACTATCAGCTGGTACCTTCTCAGGAATGTTCGGCACTTTACATTCATTGCTTAATCTTTGAACAACTCAGTGTCGTGGGTGGTACACATAAAGAAAGTGAGGCCAGCAGAGTATGCTCATGTCTGCCCATGACAGTTTGTCATATGCTTAAATTTATCTGGAGGAAGAGAAAGATATGAAGTCAGGTCGGTCCTGACTCCAAAGCACATATATTGCCTCTCTTTTTGGAAAAAATAAATAAATGAAATGTCCTCTTTCGTATATTTTATTAGTTATTTGCTTTTCCTGTTTTTTTGAATTTTTTACTTGGGCTGTGTTTACTTACTGAACTGCTGGGAAAAGTGAGGTGCCGTGTGCGCAGAGGAAAACCATGTCCATGGAGAAAGTCTGTCTTGGAATGTGGGGCCACTTACGATAGATTCAGTACACATACTTGGTTTATTCCAAGTGATTTGAATATGTTATCCTGGAATCTCTGGTTCAAACCGACCCCCAAACAATTGTTTACACTCTGGTTTTCTTTTTTTCAGGCTCCTGTCAGAGGATGCAGGAATGGACACCGCCTTTGAGGAGGGAACGCTGAGTCCCGGGGCTGCGGACATGAGGCCTGGTGAGGGAACATCTGTTCATTTCCATCAGTACTGTTATATATCCAAATATGCTCATTATTCAGTGAGAGAACCATTTCCTGTGCATCCAACTTGTGATGTCAGTGATAAAAGTGAAGAGAGTTGAAAAAAAATGTGTGCGAGGAAGGTGTTAGGCTTGATATGGTTGGTTAATTTCATAGTTGCCTCGACTACTGGGCCATCTTTTATCTCCTGGGCCATGGCTGGATCTGCCAGTGTTTTCAGTTCCTGTGATAATCATAGATCATTTATCGTAATACCAAATTCTAGCTGACTTCTAAGTTCACCAAAATTATACTAACATGTGTCAATGTTTAAAATTAGAAGTGCAATGTCGAGAATGCTCAGTATCCTGATTATTAAAAAACAACAAAAGTACACTCTAAGAATTTACAACCCATGGTATATACAAAGAGGACTTTCAAATTTTCAGTTGCAACTTAGATGACTCCCACTTTGGACTAGGTTCACTCCTTTGCACTGTTCCATCTTCAAGAACTTAACCAAGATCCTGACCCCTGATGTTATCAGTCAAGGCTAGAATTGAGGAAGAGGGAGTCAACTTTTTTTTCCCGTCTGAGTATTTAAACTACATTCTTCAAAATATTAACCATGTGACATAACTATTCTTACATGTTCTGTGGCTAAATAAGCATGGTAGCCTCTGTACATCTCCACACTTCAAGGCTCACAAATCACTTTTGAATAATAAAGGCATTAAAGCTTTGGTTGTCCTACAGGTAGCAGTTAGCCACATGTGGCTATTTAAATTAATTAAACTAAAATAAATTTGAAAAGTTCAGTTCCTCTACTGCACTTGCTTCATCGCAAGTGCTCAAGAGCCACATATAGAACATTTCTATCATCACAGAAAATTCTTTTGGACAGCAATGCTCTCAGAATGCCTGTAATACAGAAACCCAATGTTGTATAAATTTACTGATCAAGTGAAACTATTTTTCAGGTGAAACACAAGTACATTACATAGAACACAGTTTAGGTGATGTTCTATACAGGAAAAAACAAAAAGAAAAAAAAAAACCCTTCATGACAAAGAAACAGGGTTAACTTCCTTAGGATAAGATCAGAGTTAGAATTCCAGAACTGAGGTGTATACCAAATGACATTCAAAACAATCTATGATAGGAAATCCTGTAATTTCTATTGTTAGGGTATCTCTCTACCATTGTTTAGTTGGGATCAACTGGGTTAAAAAATGACTTCTCCAGGTGTGCTTCTGAGGTGAGAGGCACTGAGCAGCAAGATGCGTGTTACAGTGAAAGGGTAGGAGCCCCTCCCACGAGCTTTCCGTAGAAGACTGTCACTATGGTATAGGAACTAACAGCAGTGTTGGCGTAAGAGGTAATGACTGCTTGATCAAGGAATGTAATCTGGGAGGATACCTCAGTTTTATTGGGGGAAAAAAAAGAATGCCAGCCAAAGAAAGGTCACTGCAGATGATAGACAGAGTTGTCAAGAACTGAAGTATTTGGGGAGTGTCTGTGAACATGACATAAAGTTTGTATCCTCCATCCTATAGGAATAAAGTTTATGTGGATTATTACGAATTATATGGAAAGTTTAACTGTCTTTCTTAGGTCCTATGCATCACAGAAAATTCAATTCAGTATTGTATCAGTGTCAAGTTTTCAAACTTGAACAGGGCTGTTCTAAAAACTAGTTCTCCGCCCATTTAGCAGTGGCTTCCACTTCCTGTTTCTACATGGGCAGGGCTGATGTGGCTGGGGCGAGCCAGTGCTGAGGCCTGCTGGTTGTGGCGTGGGGGTTCCAGAACCCATATAAGGACTTTTACCAGGTGCCTTTGCTGAAAGGGCCCTAACGCTGGGGCCCACAACCACTGTTGGCCACCATGTGTGTGGTCTTCCACTTAGTGTTCCTCCTCTTTCTGTTCTTTAGAACCTCCCAATTCTCTGGATCTTAATGGCTCTCATCCTCAGAGAATCAAACTCACAGCCCCAAATATCAATCTGTCTCTGGACCAAAGTGAAGGATCTGTTCTCTCTGATGATAACTTGGACAGTCCTGATGAAATTGACATCAATGTGGACGAACTCGATACTCCTGATGAAGCGGATTCTTTTGAGTACACCGGGCATGGTAAGTCGCCAAGTCGGCATGGCCAAAGTTTTGTGGAAGGTGAAAGATTATCTGTTCCTGTCTCCTGACCTTGAAGTGGCATTAGGAACAAACCTCCCGTTGTGTTGCAGGTGGCTCCTTTCCATGACTTCTAGAAGCTTCTGTTATCTCAGGTCATAGGTGGCCACAATTGACAGTGTAGAGCTTGACAGGGCAGGTATGGGTCACAGAGGTCATACACAATCATTGCTCCTTTGTTAAACCCCTACTATATATGCCAGGCTTTGTGCTGGGCGCTGGGCTTCTGGGGAAATTGTTACATGCCGTGTCATAAGAAAAGTGGAGCTGGGTTTGTTAGAAAGAGAATTGAAGCTGCAAGATAAAATTTGAAGTGGAGAAATTAGAGCTTACCAATTTCTTTGTACAAGCTCCCACAGTCTGGAATGTTCTTTCTGGCAGATTCTGACATGGCTGGCTCCTTCTCTTTATTCAGATCTTAATCAGATGTTACCTCCTCAGGGAGGCCTTCCTTGACCTCTGTAATCGAAGGCATTCCCCACCCCCACCTCCACGCCACTCTATCCCAGTGTTTATTTTATTTTCCAGGGGGCACGCTCATTGAAATCACATCATTTAACTATTTGCTGGCATGGTAATTATCTTTGTCTTCCCACTAGAATGTCTGCTTCCTAAGGTCAGGGCCTTTCTTATGTTTACTGCCATGTCTCTAATAAAGCAGGAAGGAAGGAGGGATGGGGTAAGACTAAAACATAAGAAAGCTGAAAGTTGCTAGATCAAACACTGACACTCCTGATATGACCAGGCACTCATTTTAGTTCTTTCTCTTGCTCGGTGAAATTATTGCTGAGTACGAAATAGGTAAAAACACAAAACATTTGCTTTCAAAAATGGCATCATGTAGTTTCAGTTTTACAGGGTGGCGTGCTCTGGTGTTATAATATTTAAAATGGAAAGTAAGAGAATCCTGGCTACAGCTACTGCTTTCCTACACTGTGAGAATTACTCTAATAAAAAAGAAATACCACAGTTGAATGACGCCCTGACTTTCAGAGCCATGCTAATTCCAGCAGTTTCGTTCATAGAAGAACATATTTAGCAAATTAGGAGAATCATCATCAAATTACTTACTTAATTCAGCCACCGGGCTACAACCACGGCCAGCATAGATTTTAGACCCTGCCTTCACACGGCAAAAGGCTTTATTTCCTGAAGCTAAGAAAATGGATGTGGTCAAACTACTTGTATTACAGTTTATTATGTTTAAGTAGAGATTTTATGTTGCATTTTTATCATGTTCTAGAATTTTTATAGTTACGAGAATATTTGACCCTGTGGGTGGAAATACACAAATAGGAGGTGAAAGGTGTTGAATTGATACTCTTCTGCCATCTCAGCTACTCCATCTTTCCTTGCTGTCCCCAGCTGTCCCCGCCCTTCTCCTGCTAGTAGATTTTTGACTGTAAAAATCATGCCTTGACCTAAAATCCCAGAGAAGCAGCTGTGGCATGACCCTGCGGGTCCCTCCCTCTCCTCCCCCTGCACCTCCCTGTTGCCCCCAGAGAGCTTTGTCACCCAACATATGAACCTTTTATTTTTATGAATAGTAAAACTGCCAAGCCAAGTGGTGGTGGCTGAGCAAACTGGTAATTAAAGCTGCCACTCGCTGACATAGTTCTTTTTATTTAGTTGACACAGTTATGTGGAAAGAACCAGTTTAACGGCCACCACCCTGCTTTTAGGTCTTAAATTCAAAGGAGGGGATTTTAAAATAAGTTGAATTTTAAAGTCCACCTTGATTTTCAAGTGAAAGATCTATGTTCAGACATCATTTTAAATAAACAAAAACATTAAACATTGAAAACAGAAAGGACATCTGAATAGCTGTATTTCATAAACATGCAGATGTAGATAACTGAGTGTATGAGGGAGACGGAATACATTTTAGCCCTAAGGTATGAAGTAGGTGCTTGAAAGCTGTATGGTTTGGTTTGGTTTGGTTTCCTGTGTGAGTGTTTTGAACTAGGCAGATACATTCTAAACAAAATTGGAGTTTTTAGGGCATAAGGTTTCAAAAATGTTTGGTCAGTAATATTATTTCATGAACACTTTTCATAGTTCTTACTATATGCCAAGATCTATGCTAGGTGCTTTATAAATAGTAACTATTTTAATCCTCATGTCAATCATATGAATAGGTATTAGGGTTATTTTAAGATGAGAACACTGGGACACAGAGAGGTTAAATAATTCACCTAAGGTCACACAGCTAGTAAAGGTCAGAACTAGCAGCCAACCTGAGTTGTGTTTGACTCTTGGGCCATGTGCCTCCATGAATCTACTGAGTGAAGAGGAGGCTCTTTTATAAGCTCAGACTAGCATACCTGAAGCCAAGCGTAGTGACTGCCCCGCCTCACATTTACATGCCTTTTTATCCAGCCATTTTGGGGCCCTTACTTTACCAAGTGCTTGAAGGACCTTCACACCATTTGCCTGTTTTAGTCAACAGCTGATGATCAAACATTCCTGCCAGGCTGTTTGCCCACAATGCAATTTTGCTTATAGAAAATGTTTGAAGCTCACCATCAAAGGATGTTAAAGTGGTCTTCCCTTCAAAGCAAGTTTCTTTAATAATTGGTGTCCAAATAGTTGGAAAACATCATTCAAAGTACCGATATAATTAAGGGCTGATTTCCTTTGATATTTATAAGTGCCAAAGATATTAGCAGTATGTAGATAGTGAAGGATTTAGGAGGTCAATCTTTCATATTAAGGGAGTTCTGAGTTTTTTTTTTAATACTTTATGACACTTAAAAATATCTAAAGGTCAGAAAAAATGATGCCCAATTTCTATTTTCCAAACCAACCACAAAGTTATTTTTTACCATAATTCAGATCCCAGCAAAGGAATTCTGTAAGGGAAATGGAAAAAGTGATAAAAAAAAATTTTAGCCTGAGTATTTCTGATAAGAATTACAAGAAACATTCATGTGCTCTTACATTTGTTCTTCTTAGGCTCCGAAGCAAAGTTTAGCGACCTCATTTAAGTCCTCTTTTCTGAATCCTAACCCTAATGACAGACAGTTTTCCTATGTGAAAGAGGTACCCCGACACTCAGGATTCAGCAACATTTTTGTCCAGGGAGCTGCTTAACTCGCCTGTCTGCAGTCTTCCATTATTTTCACAGCCTTTAGGCGACCAGCTTATAAAATCAATTCGTTTTAACTCTGCATATAAACTAGTCAAGTGTTAAGCTTACTCTGTTTTACCCACAAGCAATCTGATGCCATAGCGATGATGTGGTCTGAAGGGACGACTTTCCTTTGCACTTCTGTATGCTGAGTGTTCACATTCAAATTAACTACATACCTGCTCTTTGCCACCTAAAGGACTTTCAAGGCTTTCTTAACTGTATACAGGATGTCTTTCCTCTAACAAGAAGTCCAAACAGGGAGAGTATGAAAAAATAGAAGTGGGAAGACCATTTAGAAAGTTACTGTTGTCGCCTGGGAAGAAGGCATACCTCGGACTCTAGCAATAGCAAAGAGCATGCAGAAAGCCTGTGACTGAATCCCAGCTGTGCGCTTCCCAACTACACTGAACTATACTTTGACAGGAAAAAACTAAGTATTTTCTCAGTTTGTGATACTGGTAGAGGATGCATCTTAGCTTAAGCTTCATTCTATCTAGAAGGGTCCTTAAAAATACATTCACATCATTGTATGCTTTTGTAAAATTTGAAAAAAAAAAAAGATTATTTTCCTTAAAAAGCTCCCTCCCCACAAAATCATATATGTTTCAGGCCTAACAAAACCTGAACCCACATTGGATACTCAGACAAACCTAAGTAGCATAAAAGGGAGAGATGAAAGGTACACTGGAAATGAAAATTAAAAGTTAGTTTATAAATCCTCTAGGGTATTTGGCATAATAGTAAACATGTCTTGAATGATGAGTGTCATTTAGAAAGCACTTAAAGTTCTCCAAATCAGTAATCTGGACTAATACAGAGCATGTTCAAGGGCCATACAGTTATGCCTGTGTTAGTGATCAAATATGCCATGAATAACATCTAAACCCATTTTCTTCCTGGGAATGATTCCTAAAAGGCAATACAAATAAAGAGGCTCTTTGGCTTAAAAAAAATGTTTTTTTTAAGTTCAAACATGGAAGTTTAAAAGACTTTTTAAAAAGTCTTGAAAACGCATTTTCAGATTATTCATATTCTCAGCGCAAGATCACAACATAGAAAGCTCGCCCCCTTTGCAGACCTTTGTCCCTCCTGGAAGGTCACAGCTGACATCATCTAGTGAGTCCGTATGAACACCAGTGATGGAGACCTCACTGTGATCTCTGTAGCACAGGATATTCAGGAGCTCGTGTACTAAAACATCTCACAAAAAAAGAAAAGAAAGGAAAATGTTCAAGTTAACGTCTCCCCTGTGTGCCAGGGCCTGACTGACTGCAGCAGTCGCCAGGGGGGGAAGCTTGCCCCTGAGAAAAGGAGACAAGGAAATCAAGCATTTCTTAGTGGAGAGGGCATGAGACCAAAATTAAATTTGGAGGGCCTAGGGGTAGAGCGTTAAATGAGACCTGAAATTTTTGAAAACAGTGAGAAAGTGAGGAAATGATGGCTGTGGGGGAGGATGGTAATTTATAGTTACAGCAGAAGAATTATTACGATCAGGAAGACACTGTTCTTTCAAGGGAGTAAAGGAGCTCTACTTCTTACTAGCTTATATTGTTGAACTCCAGAAATGAACACCTTAAGAAACTTTACTATACCCCTAGCTCTTATGTAACTCTTTCCCTTTTTCTTTTTCTTAATTTACATCAATCAGAAGAGGTAAGGAAGGAAAAGGGGCCGTACCAACTTGGCCGCTCTCACTCTCTGAAACACTAGGAATAACATTTCATAAAAAGGTCCAGCCTTGAACTTATATACCAAAATGAGTAATAAGGCTGTTTTTAAAAATAAACTGTAGGAAAATGTGTTCATGGATACATACATACCTTTAAGGTAGGAGTTTCATTTCTTACTCTGATACAACAATCAAAGAACTTAAAGACAAAAATCAACAAAGTCAACTATGTAAAAATACTATATTCCTAACTAGCAAAAAATCACCAATTCAAAAGCTAAGCATGAGGCAGGAAAATAATTGAAATACATGACACAGTTCTATATAGAGGATGCCAACAAATCAGTAAGGACCACGATAGGCAAAGGATTTGCCAGGTGCCTCCCTGCCAGTTAGAGGAACAACATTTTTTTTTTGGTGGTGGGTGGTAGAGAACTAGGTTTGTTTGTTTATTTATTTAAGAGAAATATAAATAGCTAATAAACACAAACATTCTCATTTTCTTTCATAGTTAAATATACATTAAAATAACAAAGAGAGTTGTTTCACCCTGAATGTTGCAGGGGGAAAAACCTCGATAACCCCCTGTGTCTTTGGTAGTGTGAGGAGACAGGTACTCTCGTGCCGTATGGTGTGATGTATTCAAGGGTAAAAATGTTCATAAAACCTTTCAGTGCTTATACCCTCTGACCCAGCACTCCACGGCCAGAAAGCTAACTTACAGCAGTATGTGCACAAAAGAGGTTACAAACCTTTACAGAGACACTGCAGCAAATTCTTTATAAGAAACAACCACCAACAAAATAGAATAAAACTAAGTTCCCATCACTATAGGACTGACAAACCTAAAGACACCAGTCAGTGGAGTACTCTAGGGTGAGTAGAGTTTACATTCGCTGAGACAAGAAGGAACCTATGCTGTCACAGTAGACATACGGTATGCACAGAACATGCAAATATACAGAATAATCATACTTTCTGGGGGGAAAAAAATTATGTGCACACGCGCCTAGAAAGACTACACAGCAAACAGTGAGAGAGGGGCGCTGGCGATTTTTGCTGTTTTCATGAACAATTTCTGTATTGCTTGCACTTCTACTAGTGTGTTTTATTTTTATAACCAGGAAAGAGAACAAACCATACCAAAAAAAAAAATTTTTTTTAACGAAGTAGCCTCAGTTAAAGCATGCAGAAAACAACACAACCCCATACAGCTCACTGGGGTCAAGTTAGAGCAGGCCAGGAAGTCCCAAACAGGATGAAGAGGGGCTGCTGCACAGGGAGCTGACGGCAGAGGAGAGCACGTGTGTACAGGAGCATCGGGAGACAGATCCCCATCAGAGCCCTGAGTTTGGAGGGAGCAGAGCCCAGAGGGAAAACAGGGTCCTGGGAAGAGCTGAGTATCCAGGGTCCTTAACCCAAGTAGGAAGGGAGAGGCAGGAAGGGACCCCTAGACAGGGAGTCCAGGGCAGATGGATGGATTTGGACAAGTGACACAGCGCTGGAGCAGAAGCCAAGGTTGCTGCAAGCGTTGGTGGGAACGCAGAGAAAGGCAGAGTGAGGCAAGGTGCTGGTAGCTGTTTGTGTTGGCCCAAAAGGCTGCGACTGCTTCCGTGAAGCTGGACTTCATTTTGCTCTTCTAAGTCGCAGGTAATTAGACACGTCCGAATGTCTTGCAGAACCTTCTGAAACAATGGCTTTGTTGTGGCTCCCTGACAGATGACCTGTATTTCCAGGAACTTGTCCAGGCTTTATTTACCCGCTCACCCTCCCAAGTTTTACTGAGTGCTCTCTGCAGGTTTCCAGGCTGAGTGTGGCGTGGGTTGCTGGAGGCAGATATTAAAGGTGATTCTGGCCCAGTTGCTTAGCCCAAGGAACTCACTGCCTCATAGTGAAATGAATGAGGATCAGACAGTCACGCATTCAAGGTACAGTGTGGTGGCTCAGGAGAGTACAAAAGGGAAGGGCTGGATTATATTTGCTTCCTAGCTCTGTGACCTGAGGTAGTCACTTCAGAGTCTTTGCGTGGGTATCAGGTCTCTCCTAACACCTCCCACTGTCAATGCCTAATAGAGCACTGCTGTTCTTACTATCAAAGTGCCATGGGAGAGCACAAGTACAGCGCAAAGCAAAGGCCACGTCCCATGGATGGAAAGTTAAAAATGACGGTATCTCACAGAATTACTGTGAAGGTTGTCATCTTTCTTTCCAGGTTACTTAGACATAGAAAGAATAACCATTGTTAAACTCTACTAGGACTTGAAGTAAAAACAAAAACAACGGTTGCTTATTCTTTAAAAAAAAAAAGTCATATGGTTGCTTTTTTTTGGATGCACAAGAGTGGGTAGTAAGTTTCTCCGCCAAGAACACTCAGTGGGCTTTTTAGTTGCCTTGGGCGCCCACTCACAAATCGGTGTCTCGTGAATTTTTGACCTTGGAGCACTCCTGGTCTACAGGGTGGTTTCTGGCTCACTGTAAAATCTGTGTGGCATATGTTGAAAGATCTATAGGAAGCAATACCAAATTCATGTCCAGATGTGCTCCCACCAGGGAAGGGGATTCAACCCCATTGTAAGAGTCTTAGAGTGGCAGTCTATCATCAAGATAGCAAGCGGAGGGCCCCCAAAACGCTCTGAGCACTCAGGATGCATCAGGAGACTGGGCCCAAGGAAAGCAAGATTATCTGGGCCTGATGAAAGACTCTGCAGTCTACAACCTGTGTGATCAAGGCGGAGCTGGTATCAGCCTATACCCCACTGGCCCACTACAGACACAAGACAGCCCCAGCTCTCTTCCTATCCCCACCCTCAGCTTGGCCTTAGCAGTGGATATTGTTGTTCCATCAATCAGTAAGACTTTACTGAGTATCCTTCATGTGGTCAGGATGGTGTTCAGCGCTATCAGGGTTACACATAACAGGGAGCACCATCTGGTTGACTCTGCCAGGAGGTAGCTAGCTGTTGAGCTGTTGGGTAGTTAGACAAGTGGGGGCACCGCGCAGATAGGTGGAGGGGAGGGAGGATGGTCCGGAAGATGGTACTATGCCTGCCTCCAACATAAAGGGATTTAGAAGAACTAAATGAGTGTCAGCAAAAAAAACAAAACAACAAAAAAAAACAGTTAAAACCTGACAGCCGTAACTGTGCAGTAGCAAAAAAACTTAACTGGACGTGACCCAATGCTCGCTGTAATATAATTAGCATTGATTGAGGTTCAGCCCCGCCTCCCCATGGGTTTTTCTGTGTACACGTGGATAAGGACGTTTGCAAAGGGGCCAAACCTGACTAAGCATTCCAGGGTCAAGAGCCATCAATCAAAGAACCACCTCTAAGCGAGGGTACAAGAGAAAGGGGCAAAGTCCTCTGCGTCCCCCCTGGGGTCAGCCCACCTCGCGTTCTCGGAGGTGTGCTTTTCTTTTCCTAAATAAACCCTTACCATCTTTTGCTACACAGCGCTCTTTGTCTCCTGACTGTGATCTGCTCTTTTGGGTACGACAAGAACTGGGGTCTTTTCCTTTTCGTTTTGGGACAACAGAACTGCCTCAACTTGGAGGTCTTGCTCCTTCAGCCCTGCTCTGTGCTTCATTTCCAGAGGATCCCACTGCCAACAGAGACTCCGGCCAGGAGTCCGAGTCTATCCCAGAGTACACGGCGGAGGAGGAGCGGGAGGACAACCGGCTGTGGAGGACCGTGGTGATTGGCGAACAGGAGCAGCGGATTGACATGAAGGTCATCGAGCCCTACAGGAGAGTCATTTCTCATGGAGGTAACCAAGTTATGTGCGAATCTGGGAAGCGAGGAGGGGGGCAGATCTAGTTTTTTAATTAGAAGTGAAAGTAGGGTTCTCAGCAGCATGATGTCCCAAGACCCTACTGGGCGGTCAACATTCAGGGCCCCGAAGAGCCAAGAGTATTATTTCATACTCAATTCGATAAACACTGGAAAGCCCACTACAAAAGTGCTTTTCACACCGTGTGTCTGATAGCTCTAATCTTCTGTGCGAATTCCTTGAAAGCCACGGTTGCCCAGTCGAGTGCTGTGCGTCTGGAATCCATGCCGGCGGCCTGTAGGGCTTGACTGGGCTGTTTTCGAGTCCATCCTCCCACGGCCTGCAGCAAGGTCATGACTCCAGAGGTGCTTCTAATCCCAGGGCAATCTTTTGAATCCTCTTCAGAAGCTTTAGGACATCTTTTAAGATTCAGTTTGGTCTTTTCTTTCCCCCCATTACATCTGTGCCTGACCGCAGCCACTTTCTGCCCAAGCCTCCACTTGCTTTGGGAGGGACAAGGGAGAGAGAAAAGGCTCTGGTGTTTTCGTTGCTTCCGCGGTGCTCCAGGAGGCTTGGTTAATGTGGGCTTCACAAAAAGTCAGATGAGCACAGGCAACACATTCGCTGTTGTCAGCTTCAGGAGACATAAATGGCTGCTTGGTTTTTCAACTGCATGCATGACTTTGCTGCGGTCCTGGGGCACCACCCTCACCACTCGGCTGTTCTAGAAAAAGTGTAAGCTGACAAGGCAGCCTTCTCGCTTCCTTAACGAGGACAGGGAAATAAGCATCTTGGTGTTGCATCCAACCCGGAGCTTTTGTTTTCTAACAAGCAGAAGGGCATCTTGTTTTTTCACTCAGACTTCCCTCCACCGCACATTTTCCACTCTCTGCTCCACGCATGGCTACGTCCCATGGGAGGACTATCCAGGGCCCCACCCTTGATGGTGAAGGAATCTAGGTGCCCCTGGCTGTGACCTTCCTTTTTCCTGCCTCACCATTTGAGCTGAAGTGGTGACGGAGCCCAGTGACAGCTGCCGTGGGGCTGGGGCGGCTTCCTCTAAGGGAGACTTCCCCCATCACAACAGGAGCAGGCCTGATCCTGCCACAAGTGATGGACGGCTGGCCCCAGCGTCAGCCATGGTGTTCTCCTAATGAAAACCACAACCCGAACACCAGCTGGATCTTGCCAGAATGTCAGGCCTCCTTTGTCCCACCCGTTGGGTACGTCTGGTTTGTTTGCTTTTTAGAAATAAAGAGCAAACAAACCAAAGCAAAGGCTGGCTATACAACAGCCTTTGTGCATTCGGAAAGCTACAAGGAATGGAGGAAAGTCTCTCAAAGTAAATCCCAGTCACCCAGTGACAACCCCTGCTGCATTTACGCCACGGTGAAGCTAGCTGTGGTAGGTGGGTGGGTTTAGCCCATGGGTCCGGCGCCTGAGTCAGGAGAGAGTGGTTATTGTCAGCACTCTGGGGTTGGAAAAAGCCACTGCTTCTGCCGGTCCATTCTTTGTCAAAATTCACTGCACACCTCAGGGCTAACATGGTTTGCTGTGCCCTCCATCCCCGCCACTCCTCCCCTCGGCACTCGCTCCTCTCCTGTCTGTGTTGTGAGCTCGTCTTCTCGTCTGTATGACTGTCTGGTTCGTTTGAGAGAGAAGGCTCCTCTCCTGTCCCCAGCTCTGCCTCGGCCTGCTCCAGGCACCAGCCTGCATGAGGGTACTGCGCCGCACCCCCTGGAACGTTAGCGAGATGCCCCTTCTTCCTCGACCCCGGACAGCTTTTGTGCTCCGTAGGGGAAGACAGTTCCCATGTTGCTTCTGAATTTGCCAAAGCTTTGTCTGCTGCGTTGGAGGCTCACGCCACTTTCCCAGACCTTAATGATGATCAAGTCACACTCCCCAGTTACCAGTCCATTGAACTGGCCATCCCTGGCTTCTGACGAGCATTTAAAAAGCAGCACTCCGTAGTGAACAAAGATGTTGTTTTGGTGCCTTGCACTCTGCTCTGAGGATGTTTTCCCACTCAGGCCAGTAGGAAGGCACCGGCTGCACTGTGCTCTGTGCAGCAGGATGGCAAGATGCGGGTGATTAAAAGAGCTGCCTGAGTTTGCTGCGCTGCCAGGCCCTGCAAGTGTGCACCCTAGCTGGGAACGTCTGTGGGTGAGAGCGGTATTGGAGCAAATAATTCAGCCTTCAGCTTTGGTGGCCTTGACATGAACTGTGGCCAGAGGCCTGGGACACACTGTAGGTCAGGCTTCAAAATCCATCTTGGCCACTGATCAGTCTGTGACCTCGGTACATCACTTCACTCCCCTGGGCCTCGGTTACTTCCATTGTCCAAAAAGGGTGATCTCAAAGCCAGTGTCCCCTCTTCCAAGCCCATGAGTAATAGCCCTGCCATCTGCTTGAATAAAAAAGCAAAGAGAGGTCTGGGTGGTTCGGATCAGCCAATAGCGTGGGGTCATTCTGAGGCCAGAACTGGTGTTTCTGAACCAGAAGCGGGGAACACGATGAAATAACCAAGGGCAGTCACGCCGAAGCATTGTAACGAGGAGTTTCCTTTCTTGTGTTTTTACTTCTCTTATTTCATTATAGGAGACTCAGGTAACCTTCTCTGCAGTGTTGCTGGACAAATGATCCTGGAAAGAATGCGGACAAGAGTTGCAGGCTGGGGTGTGTGTGTGTGTGTTTTTGGTTGAGACTGTGGCATCTTTCCTTCTCTCCCCATCCCATTTGTTGGCCGGCAAACTTGTGTTCCGCCCTTTCATGCCTGTCTGTTCGACCTCAGGTAAGGATTGCACCGTTGCTTCTGAGGGTGGCAGGAGACCCCGCGGTGGGATGGCTCATGTACCTCAGTGCACACACTCTGAATTTGCTTCACCATTACTGAGAGGAGAGTCTGATAAGAACATGTTTTAAAAAAAAAAAACCTAAGCCTCAGGTGAACTGTGCACTTGTTGACAGGCAACTTCACTTGAGTAAGCTGCATCTTTAGCGTAGGAGTTGGGTTAGATGAGCCGCTTGAAGGCGTAGGCAAGGATTGAAACACAAATGGTCCTGTTCATTCTAGTTACTGCACTTTGCCAGTGACTGCTGCCGGAAGTAGCTCCGGAGCCTGACTCTGGACTGAGAAGGAAAACTTGCACGAGGAAAGCTTCTCTTTCCTTCCTTATACCTTCCATCACCCCCTCTCCTCTTGTCTTCTTTCTTTTGCCACTTCTTCCCTTCGTACAGTTCCTCTGCCTCAAAGTGCAAAAATCCATTTTCATGTGTAAATTTCAGTAATTTTTCTTTATAGCAAGAGACATTCCTGACTTAGACAATGATCAGGAAGTGGTAAGTTAATCCTTAAGTATTCCTTCGGTTAGATGAACCCAAGCTAACACGACACTACAGCATTCCAAGGACAGACAGCAGTGACACACAGCTGAACTGCCATGTGGGATGACTTCTGAAGTACTGTTTACAAACCTCAGTCTTTCCTCAAAAAAAAAAAAAAAGCCACATTCTTAGAAATTCTCCAGAAATAGAAAAAGAAACCAAAGGAAGTGAGCAGTCACGATCTTGAAATTATCCTGACACCCTGGAGCCAGACAGCCATGTTCAGAAAGATGCTTTTGAAAGGATGCTGTTGTCCTTGTTTCTAAGATGGATTCACTAGGTCTGCTGTTTCTTTTCACAAACCTGGTCTTTTCACTGTGCTAGGTCTGACCTGCACACTTTCGTGGTGCTCAGATTCATTGTCACTGGGCCACCCTGTCCCGTGTGGATTTCTATTCGGTTATAAGTCTCCTTAAATGAAACTGTTTGGTGGAACAAGCGCTTGTATTAAAATATATCTCCTTCTGCCATTTTCCTTCAAACCACATTCTAACAAGCAGTTGGTAAATACCCCAATACTGGAAAAGATGGCACGAGAGTGAAAAATCCAGAGGGAAGCTACTGCAATCCTGTTTTGCAGACATGTGTTGCCTCAGGTGTATACTGACATAGGTAGCATCTTCTAAGATGTGTAGCATAAACACCGTCTACAACCACCTCAAATTGGTAATGTACACAAACCCATAATTTGATGTATTTTTAGTTGGTATTGCTTTCTTCCCCACCTCTTTTGTGGTGGAGTCATACTCTCTATTCTTGTAGAGAACATCTTATTAAACTGCTTTTCAAGAGTTAAGCCCATCCAAATCTATATCCAGCCACTATTTCACTGCCTTGTAATCACCAGAGGGGTATTTAGAGTTCTGAAAAACTGAAACCCACTGAGTTCTGATCAGGCTTATGGGTGTGCCCTGTCCTCCAACTCAAAGCTTTGAGGAGATCTCTATTTGCTGATTCTGAAGTCCAGAACTTTGTTACATGACACACAGCACAGATATTTTTAAAAGGCTATTAAAAAATAAAAATACAGGGCATGGCTTCCATTTTTAAGTCTGGAAGACATGCTAAGATTCCATACACACACCTGTGACGATTTGACCACCACTTGCCATGAGTTTTAAAGCTGAGCTCTCAAAGAACACAGAGCTTGCTGAAAGGATGGGGCAGAGCTGTCACAAGGGGGTAGAATGTCCTGAGATATCTGTCCATTTTCCTCAGCCCTTGACGTTTCAACGGCCACACTTGGCTCCGCTCTCCCACCGCTGCCCGCAAACAGCTCTCACCCCCTCCCTCCCTGACCAGTAAACGCGTACGACCAGGGAGTCATTCTCAAGTTTTCCCAAAAGCACACATTTCCATAAAACTCAAAGAGAGGCATCCTTTAACCAGTCCCTTCTTGAGTCTGCCCTCTTCTTAATGGTCTAGGCTCTGAATTCTGTGCTCAGTTATTCTAGGCCTGGCCAGAATGTACCCCGGACCTGTCTGTTGAGCCTGGAGATCCCAGGGAAGCTCCGGGCAAGTACACCAGGCCTCAAAATCAAAGTCAAGGTGTTTTCCTGTTCTGCTCACTGGTATCTGGTCAACGGAGCATGTGAGTTTCAGATTATACAGCAGTTCAGTGACTAATTTTTTCCTGCAGATCGATCAGGGCCTAAAACTAGGAGGAGCTAAAGAGGATAAAACAGAACCCCTTCCATAGCCACTAAAGGAAAGAAGAGTTATGTCAATCAGTTTTTTTATTCTATAAATTAGCCCTTAAGTAAAAAAAAAGTTGCTCCCCCATCCTTTGATAAGTTAATATTTATACACCCACTTATGACTATTTACAACACACATAATCATCCACAACAGGGAGACTCTATAGATGCAGATATAGTCACACTGTATATTTAAGAATCTATATAACATGCCTTAACCACTGAAAGATGACTGTATGTGCATGTATTTAGAGAAGCAGCGTCCACACAATGCTTTTTTAAAGATTTACCTGTGACATCCACATCCACACACTTGCCAAGGCGTCCAGATTTATCCTTCTGGTTAAGTATTATCTTGTTAAGAGCTTTCAATTGGTTACAAATGTCTTTCTGTCTGTCCCCCAGGATACTATGGGGACGGCCTAAATGCCATCATTGTGTTTGCCGCCTGTTTTCTGCCAGACAGCAGTCGGGCGGATTACCACTATGTCATGGAAAATCTTTTCCTGTGAGTGATGCTTATGACAAAGTGCTTTGAGTTAATGTCTGTGGGCATGTACGCGGCAGATAGAGCGTCTTTAATAAAGGGAAATAGATGATGTAGAATATGCTAAGCCTTTGATTAGAAGTTTAAATTTGTGTCAAGGAAAATTGCTCACATGACCAGAAGCTTCAGAGGAGCTGTTTTGTCAGTAGAGTGAGCTGAAAACAAAATGAACAGTTTGGCCTGTAGTTAAAACTTATGTAACAGCCTTTGGGTGAAGTGTTATTTTTGTTCCCTGATAACATGTTCTCAGTCAACTGGTGATACCCTGACTCCATTTATACCTGCCTTTACTTAATCTGACTTGCCCTTAGTATAGAAGAACACTGTTGACATTTCTGAAGGTCAGATTTCCAACCCACACATTTTTCAAGTGTACCTGCATTTAAAAACAAAAGAAAAAAGATAATCGTACAAATAAATGAGTAATACTCTCAGAGAAATGATCTTAGGTAACTGCATTCTTCTCCAGGTGAAGAGGTGATATGGGCAACCATTCTTAAATGTCATGCACCCTGTAATTTAAATGTTATGTAATTATGGGAAATGAGATGAACTCTTTCATGTGGGAACTAAAGACACTCCTCTTCCTTCCTGTGATCAGATATGTAATAAGTACTTTAGAGCTGATGGTAGCTGAAGACTACATGATTGTGTACCTGAATGGTGCAACCCCACGACGGAAGATGCCAGGGCTAGGCTGGATGAAGAAATGCTACCAGATGATTGACAGACGGTATGTAGCCTCCATGATTTCATCACTATTTTGACTTCCTCAGTAACTCCCACCTCCGATGACCTTTTAATTTACCAGAATGCAATCACAATTGAGGAACACTAAATTCATGCAGATTTGAGACGGTAAATTATCAAAATATTAATGAAAGTGACACTTGATGCCCTGAATTTGAAATATAGCAGAACTTCCTCAGATTTTATTAAATGTTATAATACCAAAATTGGCGACCAAGTATTTTAAAGTGTCATATGCTCTTGCCACATGGAGGCACATCTGGAGCTGACAGACCAGTCTCCTGGTATCATGTGTCCTGGGTGCTGCTTTTGTGCTCTGGGACTGTTGTGACTTAGGCAACCATTCTGCTCTTATTTCAACATTCTCTGTTAATTCTAGCCCTTAGGGAGCCCCTTCCTCAAGACACATCACTTCCATCCATGCTGGTTTTATTAGAACAAAACACATTATTGCCATCTACTTTGTCATAATAAGCATACACACGTATGATGACTGCCATATGTGTGGTACCCCCTCAGATGCGGCCCCTGCCATAGCAACATGTGAGTGCCCAGTTACAGTACCTAAAATCCATTCAATCACCTAAACATACATAAAGTAGCATTGCTAATGCTGAAAAATATTCCTGAATTACCAAAAATGTTAAAATGATCATCTGAAGGCCAACCAACCACATGAAACACTACTACTATTTTCATGACACAGAAGAAACCAAGGCTCAGTAGAACAGGTTGGCTGTGTTCCTAGTAAGTGTATTCATTTCAAAATAGTAAAGAAAATGCTGACAAGAATGAAAAGCACTGTTAAACAGAAATAGGCCATGATGGTTATAGATTTGTGCACTCCAGGAATACAACCATTCTGTTTTACATTTATTTCTATGGGAAAATGAGGTTTGAATCATACAAGTTTCAAATTACACTTCAAAAATTTTTAAATTCTCTTTATTAATCATGACATTCTGTACCTCCCTACCAGATACCAGATATTTATAGATAAAAATATATATTCTTGTTTGGGGATAGACTTTGTTTTAATTCCTAGTCAAAATAGGTTATAAGTAATTTTTTTTCTTTTTTGAAAACAGGCTGCGGAAGAATTTGAAATCATTCATCATTGTTCATCCCTCTTGGTTCATCAGAACAATCCTTGCAGTGACACGACCTTTTATAAGGTATGGTCATTCTTACAGTATAAGTAAAATTACTACTACTGGTTTTTAAAAGTATGTATTCATTGTCCTAGAAACAAAAATTCACAAACCAAGAGAGTATTTAGGAAAATAAATGTTCCCTCTGCCTTTCCTGAAAAGATACTTTGGACTATCCAGCAAGACTAAGTATGAGTGAGCATTATTTCATAATGAATATTTTCCCCCCATGATTATAAAGCATGACCTCTGTGTTGCTTGCTGTAAACACATAAGGTGAAATAGTAGGGTTTCCATGCCATATTACAGAAGGGAACAGATAGATTACTTTTAAAGCAATACGGTATTGTGTCGAGAATCAGCGAGGGAGTAGAGTAACATGACAATGGAAAATAAAGACAAACCAAGGACAGAAACTGAAGCCACGTCTTAATTGTTCTGTTGCTGCTGAACAAATACCAGGCAGGACACTAAAGTCAGGCAGAGTCTGAGCAGCCGTTTTGAGGCTTTGTTTTGGTCATCCATGAGGCTGCTTGGTTTAAATTCAGTTCAGGTCTGTAAATACTTGTTCATCTGTTTTGTGTTAGCTTGCCATATAACCTTTATTTGGGGATGCAAAAAAAAAAAAAAGAAGAAGATATGCCTTATATCTGCCAAGACTGAAACAGTTAAATGAAAGAGACAGTATGGGTTTTCTAGAGAGCTTTAAAAATAGAGGGGCAAAACGGGTACGTGATTAAGACGTACAAACTATAATGTATAAAATAAGCAACAAGGGTATATTGTACAATGGGGAATACAGCCAATATTTTATAATAACTTTAAATGGAATATAATCTATAAAAATAGTGAATCACTGTGAACTAATGTGACTCGGCTATACTTCAACTAAATAATGTAATTTATATATTTAATATATATTATATATATTATTAATATGCATTATGATGATGATAAAATAATGTCTTGCCTAACATCAGGATACAAATTAGATAAAATTTTTCTGTCTCAAAGTTATTAATGAATTCCTGAAAAAATTCTGATCACTTCTGGAGAAAAAAATTAAAGGTTAAAATCCTTTATATTTTTTCTTATATAGATTTTACTGTGCTTTCCAGAGTCCACCTTTTTGGTTCAGTGTTCACTTATATTTCTTTAACATTCCCACTCCCTACTTCCAACAACTGAACAGCAGGATTCAACCTAGTTCTCCTCTGGCAAAGGTTAGCTCTTTACTATACCATGTTAAGTTACTTTAAAAAACAATATGAGCTTTAAAGATACACAAAAAGCATTTATTTTAATAATAGCACAAAATGCTTTGACAGGGGAGTAGGAATCAATGTATAATAAAAAGCTTACACAAACTCTAATGACCAAAAAAGTAAACGTTAGAATTGATACTGGTTCACTGATGTTTGTTTAATAATTCAGCTCTTATAATTATAAAACATGTTCCTTCTTGATAAATATAATCGTTTTTCAATATTCTTACCATAAAATAAGTCAACACTTCTTATTGAAGGGAGTGGCAAGAGAATAATAATTACAACAACAACACTAAAATTATAGCAGGTAGTATTGTGGTAAATCACATACAATAATGGCTTACATTTATGGAGTATTTACATGCATTATTTTATTTAACTCTAATGACAATCCTCTGAAGGAAGTTCTATTTACCCTTTCTGTTATGGGAAAAAACGCTGAGGTGAGGTCAAATAAATTGTCCAAAGCAGGAGCCAGCAAACCCATTCTGTAGAGGATCAGATATAATATTTTAGGTTTTATGGGCCATACGGTCTCAATCACAACTCCTTAGCTCCGCCATGTAGGGCAAAAACAGCTGTAGACAATATGGAAATAAGTAAGTGTGGCTGTGCGCCAGTAAAACTTGATTTATGAACACCAAAGCTGAATTTCCTGATACTTTTTACATGTCACAAAATACTCTTATTTGGATCATTTTTCAACCATTTAAAAAATGTAAAAACCATTCTCAGCTCAAGGATTATTAAAAACAGTCAATAAGCTGGCTTTGGCCAGCAGGTCCTAGCTGGCCAACCGCAGGTCTAAGGTAACACAGCCAATAAATGACAGACTCAGGCCTTGAACCCAATGCCCCCCTGATTGTAAAGAAAATGCATTTTGAATACTTAAACATTGTATTCTACAGTTTCATCATGTAAGATTCTCTTTAAAGAGCTCCCTGTGAATCAGGGAAAGCAACTTTACAATTTGGAAAAAAAAAAGTCACTAAAATGTATTCTAGGTCTTTTCACTGCTAAAGGGTGACACCTGTGATGGAGGTATATTATATGGCCACTTCATTTTCTAAATGAATTGTTTGTGTCAAGCACTGGGTTAGGTGCTGGAGGCTGAGAACTACACAGCTCAACTGCTGTCCTCAAGGGGCTCACAGCCTGACAGCTGACCTCAGCCGACTAGTGAACAGGCATAAGCCAGGCACAAAGGAAGCACGAGGGGGTATCACTCAGGCTGCCGGGGTGGTTAAGTTTACAGGTGGAGTGTGAGGACTGAGAATCTGCATCAGGAGCTTCTTTCCAAAAGAATGAGCCTGCAAAACGAGTTTTGAAAAACGAATAGGATGGGCTAGCTAAAAACAGGTAGAGAAAGAGGAAGCAGCAGGTACAAATACACCAGGAAGGAAAGAACATGGCCTGTTTGGAGAACTGTCCGTTCCAGTGAACGTACCACCAGAGCTGGAGGTTGCCCCCTTGCATGACTTCTACCCTCTTATTCTACCCACTCCACCTTTTATCAACACCAAAATATAGCTCAAAACCTCCAGAGGAAGGAAGTGACCTAAGAGAGCACGTCATTGGTAGTGTGTCCATCCAAGACTCACGGCCCAGGGTCAAAACTGCAAGTGAAATGTGAAAGACAGTGTATAGAGAAATGACCTTGAAAAGACGTCCTATCAGAATGCACGGCAGTTGAACAGAAGGCAGTTCAGGTGGCAGACAGCTCAGCATCCTCCCAGAAGGCTGACGGGGCCTTTTCATGAGAGACTGAGAAAGTTTGATGCTTGATCAAGTTCTCTTTCAACTGGAATGATACATTTTTAGAATTAGTTTGCTATGACACTAATAATACAAAAATGCCTTTTTCTTATAAAACATCCAGTCATGAGAGATAGGACCAAATTCTTCCTTCCACAACTCCCAATTCTGTTCCCAACCCCAGAAGCTTCCCCAGAAGCAAATTCCCTTATCACTTTCAGGGATTTCCTTGCAAGCTGTTTTCTGTGCACTGACACACATTTGAAATGACAACATTTAGATGAAAGTCGTTTGTAACTCAAATCAAATTATTGGAACATGTTTTTTGAACACTGGTTCATCTGGAATGAACTCCCAAACTAAAACTTAAAAAAAACCTGAAGAAATTTTTAAACTAAAACTAAAGAAAAAAAAATAAGAGGAAAATAAATTTATATATACTTTAAAAATGTATCAACCTTGGTAGATTCTGAAAGAACTAATGACAACATTTGTGTTTGATAAAAACAAGTAAACGAAACCAAACCAACCATAAACCAAACCAGTGACCATTCAGAGTGGCAGGAACCACCAGGAGGCCATGTGTGGCCCCTGCAGTCAGAATGCCTGGTTTAAATCCAGGCTCTGTCACTTACCGAAGGTGAGACCTTGAGCAGATACTTAATTTCCTATGTCTTGAGTTTCCTTATCTTTAAGAAGAGAGTAGTAACAGTACCTACTCACTGGGCTATAAGGGGAAATAAATGAGTTAATATTATATAAACCACTTACAACAGTGTCTGGCATATAGTAACCAAACAATGCAGCCCTTCTTAGTAAGAGTGCTGGGGCAAGGTGACAAGTGTATCAGCATTGTCAGGCAAAGGCAGCAGCCTTGGGAGGGGATGATGGCATGACTAATCTCTTTTTTCTTCTTCTTTTCTTCAGTTCAAAATTCAGCAGCAAAATTAAATATGTCAGTAGCTTATCAGAACTCAGTGGGCTGATCCCAATGGACTGCATCCACATTCCAGAGAGCATCATCAAGTAAGTCCTGACGGTTCGAAGATTTGGTAAGAAAGATTGCATGTCTAGAGCAGGAGACTGGAAAATAACTCCTATCTGGAATACGGGGCGATGGCATTATCTTATATTTAAAACATTAGGTATTCTCCAGTAAATAGATGTCTTTTCTTATAACCTCAAAATTTAAGTCCTGTTCTTTGAGATCTTCTTTCACATAATCTTGATGTTACTGGTATCTGCTCACGTTCATGATCATTCACTGACTTTACTACCATTTTGGAGAAAGCGTAAATTTAACGTGAATCAGTGTATCTGTCACTTGTGTCTCCCATGTCTTACAGACACAAGAGGGTTTGAGCGTAGCTTGGATTTCTTTATTGCGTTATATAAGGTAATTTCTCTGGATGACCCCAGGAAAAGAGGGAAAAAAATTACCTTTTCTCTGTATTCTTCTCAGTCCTTTTTCTTCATGGTTCCCCTTCAGGTGAAGACACAGGAGAGGGGTGGGCGGCGCAGTCAGCGATGGTTTTCTTACTCGGTGCAGGGTACTGAGGTGGCAGCAGCCTGTAGGAAGAAAGCATGGCTCCTGAGGGTCGCAGGATTATGCTGCAAAAGTACTAAGAGTAGGCAGTTAACCAGACAACCGCCTGGTTGGTCCACGACGCTGGGAAGTGAGCCCTCCTAACTGGTTCATTGTTGCAAAGAGCTGTTGTTTCCTGTGGATTGTGTTTTCCCTTCACTACATCTGATTCACTAGTTTTCTGTTTGATTTGAACTGGGTGGGGGACATGTAACCATCAGCTCAGAGAAAACAGACAAGGGTACCCCATCTTCCTCCAGAAGATGAATAATAGCAAAATGGACCTTCCAATTTGGGCCTCCAAAAATGAGTCCTCTCACCACCACCCCGCCAAAAAAGGTGGGGGTGGCACGGAAACTCGAAAGAAAAGACTCCCATTGAAGGTGCCTGTGCTGCGCTGGGCACAGAAGCGCTCTGTGTAGACCCTTTGTTTAATCCCCTCAGTAAATCCCCGTTTACAGATAAGGAAGATACCTGAGGAAAGGGATGTGCAAAGGGGAAGTAGGAACGAGGAGGAGATGGAACTAGAATTCAAATCCAGGTCAGCCTGGCACCAAAATTCCCATGCCCTTTTCTAGCAGTTTGCTTTACCTCCCCTAAAATACCCATCTAGGGGCGTGGGTATCAGTTCAGTGGTAGAGAGCGTGCTTAGCATGCACAAGGTCCTGGGTTCCGTCCCCAGTACCTCCATTAAAGTAAATAAATTAATTAATTTTAAAAGAACCACTAAATAAATAAATAAATAAATAAATAAATAAAAGTAAAACCTCCATCTAAAGTCAAAACTCAGGAGTAGATGCATTTGGTTTTCCTCCATCCCAATATCGGGTATGAATAGAGGATACGGGCTGGCTTTAGCACTGCCAGTGGGCTCAGCTGGATCAAGCAGAGTGTTCACAGAACCTGGTGGTGGCTGTGATCCTCACTAGGTTCACAGGGTTCCCACACCCAGCACACCTCGCAGCTCTGGCCTGCCACCTTGGAAAGGGGTGCCCCATCTCCAGAATCTTTAAACTAGAAAGCACTGGAGCAGCACTCACCGCCGCTAGCGCTGTCTCCCTGTGCAGAAGATGACAGAGACGGTCCCGCTTCAAGTGGAAGTGAGCACTGGCCACTTCTAGGTAAGCAGGGCAGCGCTTCCCCGGCGTGGCAGCTGGAGGAGAGATGGGCTCGGGAGGCTCAGCCTTAGAGCCGAACCTTCCCACCTCCTCTCTGAGGCTTCAGGCAACCTGCTGCAGACTCGCCGAGTCTGGCTTCAGCGTCCGTAAAATGAGAAAGTGAGGAGCACAAGATGCATGGAAAGGTCCTGAGGACTGAATGAGGACAGTGCACACAGAGCATTCAGGAAGCCTCCAAGCACAGAATGGCAGTCCAGAGGTTCCTTATCATATAACTGCGTTGCTTTTAGAGATTCGCTGTCATACCGCAAAGTTTAATTGAGAAATTAAGCATGCCTGAAGCACTTTTCATTTATCACATATCAGTTTTCAAGAGCTCCGTTTGGGAATAGTTTGGGAGATAAGAGTTCCATTTGGAAAGAGTTTCTTCTGGAGGAAGAAATTTACTACCATGCCTGTCCTCCCCACGGGCCCATGATTTCCCCCGTCTTTCGCAACCCATCTCCTCTGGTTGTCCTTTCTCTCATTTCTGTGACTGACCCTCATTGCCTCATTTTCATATTAATGCCATTTCCAAATTGATACAAGCCCTACAGCTCCTTCCGGTTACACAATCGTATTCAGAGGATCTGATCTCAGCTAATCCCAACACCAATATTCAGCCAGGATGGATGGAGCCTGTCATCAGAAGGCTTACAGAAAAACGAGCCAAATCTGGAATCATTTTATAGTCATTGATTACAGACAAATCTTGTTATTCGCAGCAGTGATGTTCTTATGGGTTTGAACAGCAAATACTGAACCATTGTTCCTGGGAGAAATATAGAGCTAAGTTTCCATGAGTCCCTGGTCACAACATTTCCATTTACCGATTAATATATAACCTTGTTTTATGTGCGTTTCTGTTTAAAGATACTTTACTTGATAGATACGGTTGATTCACTAACACTGAACTCGTGGCCAACAGCATCATAACTCGGGCCTGAATAAAGCTTATCTAACACATGTATTTTCTCCCTAAGCCCCATCACAGCCTTCTGGTGCTGGGGAACTCTAGCTGGTACTTCAGCACAGTGTTTGGGGAACATTTTAAACAAAGAACTCACCAGCAAAAAGCACAAAAATAAGGAAACCATGGCACTACACAGACTATAAAAAGGACACTTGTTTGCAGTATGAGAGGTGAGAACAGAGGGCGGAGCCTGGCCCAGGTCCACCTTGGCCGGGAGCCCATATGTCAGGTGACATAGATTTTTGGCCACACTGTGACCATCCACAAGTGCCATGAAAGTGCCACAGGTGTTGATTCGGAGGTGGCAAATACAGTTTAGCAACTAGGCGAATTTGGGAACATGGAATCTGCAAATAATGAGAATTGGCTGCACATAATTATAAATTTGAACTCATTGATTATATCTAATGGAAATAAGATTTCTCCCAAAGGGCAATCTGATTATTATTTGGGTAGGCTTTTTCTCTCCGATTCGACTGCTCTGTAACACACTGACCTGTCCTGTTGTTTCACCTGTCTGCTCATTTTCCTCACCACATTCGTTTTTTATCCCGTAAGGTACGATGAAGAGAGATCTTATAAGAGAAGTGTGAGGTAATAAAAAAATCTCCTGATCTCCAATTCACCCTGGACCCTCTGTGTGTGCACACCAGTGTCTTACTCGTGGGTGACCTCAACACGCTGCCTGAGCAAGAGGTCCTCGTTATCAGTCGCTCATAGTGTATCTTTTCCAGTCTTTGTCTCGTGTGCACAGCTGTTGAGGTCAACCTGATTTGCAACTGAAACCTACTAAACCAGACACGTCCCTGACTTGGCCCAGGCTGCAAGCTAACTTGAACTGTACCCAGCAGACTGATGTGGCTGTTTCCAGCTTTACTCAGCCAGCATGTTTCCAGTCTCCTTGCAACTTTGATATCTACCTTAACGAAGGACTTTGCAAAGGAAACATATGTAAACACTGAATGGGAGTTCTTAAAACACCATATTTAACTGAAGGAGGGTGTTTCAGTGCTCCAGCCGATGGTTTTTAGAAGCACATACGCTCCACTTATGTTTGGCTCTGCTTTGCTGGGCGACTCTCTCACGCTCTGCTTGCTTCTTTTCTGTTTCTTTTCGACACCAATCATTTTTTGCTCATGCAGACTGGATGAAGAACTGAGGGAAGCATCAGAAGCAGCTAAGTAAGACTTGGTTTCCATTCAGCAGCTGGCGTGATGTTGGCTTGCATTTCCGGAATGAACTGGGAGAACTTGCATGCCTGTGGTTTATCCTTGCACCCTGATGATAATGCTGCACTTTAAAAGTTCCCTTTGTCCCATGACAGATGTAATCCCTGTTATATTTTTTATATTTCATACTATAGTCTATTTGCCCCCCACCCCCATGATCTTGGCTATCGTGTTGTTACTGTTGTTTAATTTTTTAAAAATGTATACATGTAATTTTAGGCACCACAGCCAAAGAACACATCACAGGCACTGCCACGTATAACATACAGATGTTCTATAACACACAACACATACATGACACACATATATAACATGTGTAACACACACAACATCCAGATGATCGCTTAGACATATCAAGGCAACAAAACCTCACTAATTCACACTAACACGAAATGATGACAAGTTGAAATTTGCAATATTTTTATAGATCAAACTTCATGAATTTCCAAGTTTTTTTGTTTTTTTTTTTAAGAAAACACCTTATTTAGTGACTTGGAAATACTGCTTAACTAATAGCTTCTGAGCTATTTGGATGAATTTAAAAGTCATGCTCTTGTCAGAGTATGATTTTCAAAACAGCAAAATCAGATCTTCAATGCAAATCTAAAATGAATACATGCCAGTGATTTTATCCAACTAATTATTTAACGAAGGAACCAGTAAGGTGTCAAAACTAGTTTAAAGAGCATTTGAAAAGCTAGAGATCGATAGGCGATGCGTAAAGGAATGCTACGATAAGAATGTTGGTTTAGGAACAAAACTGATTCATGTTCAAATGTTTAACGGGGCAATAAACTATAACCTTAGGGTTCTCTTCTTCCACTGGACAGAAATTATCTGCATCTCTGCTCAGTAAAAGTCTGGCAAGTTAACATCTGCCTCTACAGAGTCGTCGTGAGGTAGTCAGTCTATCAATAGAAAGTCAACTCAGCACTGCTTTTAGAGAACATCCAGTGATCTCCTGTTCTTACTTCCAGGCCACAAATACTTTTCCTGACACTATTTGTTCAACATAAACAAGTACTCCTTGTAATTCTCTGCGGTATTAAGCTTCTCCATTTCAAATGTTGCTTACCCTGTTAATTTTTATAACCCGTTCCTATTTTAACAGACATTGCAAAAGCAGAATGCCTCGGCAATGTCCCACAGCCACAGATTCAGAATCAATAAGATCTGTATCAGTGAAGTCTTCCCTGCCTAGGTGTAAATGCCAGCTCCTCAAGAAAACGATCCATTTAGATATTTTGTTCCTACAACACCTTTTCAGTGCAGGTATCCTGGAGAACGACTTACCCATAGTGTGCTTCTTCTGGGTTAGAAATGCAAGGAAAGGCTTTTGCTTTAGAAAGTTTAAGCTACTGTTAAATATTTCTGTCCTCTAGCTTTCTTTCAAGATAACTGGCACCCCTTTAGACTAACAACACTCAAAATTATACACATTTTTACTCTAACAGACTCTTCTTAGTCTCTAGCTCAACTCTTACAAACAAGACGTGGATGTAAGGACGATACTAGGAATTAAGGAAATGACTGTTGGTGTGTTGTGTTCCTTTAGCACGACCTGTGCTCATCTCACACGGTGTCATGAGAGTCCCCAGAGAGAGAAATGGC